ACCTTCTTTCTTCTTAACCAACAAAACTGGTGCACCCCACGGTGACACACTAGGACGAATGAATATATTCTCAAGCAAATCCTCAAGTTGACTCTTTATCTTTTTCAATTCAGATGCTGACATCCGATATGAAGCCATCGATACCAGACTAGTTCCTGGAATTAAATAGATCGTAAACTCCACCTCACGGTTTGGCGGCAAATCACTTACATCTTCAGGAAATACCTCAGAAAAATCACGAACTATTGCTAATTCACCCATCGCTCTCTTCTCACAAATATCCAACGTTGCCATCAATGCTAATAACACATCGCCATCCTGCACTAACTCATTCATTTTATATACTATCAAGTTGGCAAGACAATCTTATCCCATCCAATACGATCCCGTCTATCATCAACAAGATATTAAGGGTGATCAGTTCCTCAATTTGTCAATAGGTAGCTGACAACCATGATGGTGGCATAAACCATCATCACCCAACTGCAATAATGTCCTTTATCTTATGCTCAAAGTTACCTAAGCATAATGTTGCATGTATCAACAACTTCTCCTTTACTTGTTTCAATCTCTCTCATGCAAACAAATGATCAGATGAACAAGAAAATGTCAACAGTGTTTTACACATATGTCACGTACTAAGGGAATAAAGACATTAACAACTTGGCCAACTGGTCGACCATGCTCTGATACCACTAATGTAACACCCCCTAAACCCCCGCATAAATAAATAGCATAATCAAAGTAAATTAGCATGCATATCAAAGAGGACACCACATTTACTTCACGACAACAACACAAACACACTGATCATATTCATAACACACATTTAGAATCATATTCCATACAATAACATATATGCATCTCACAGCGGAATAATTCTCAACTCAAAATAATAATACTAATAATTGAAATCTCATACTGACAATCATAACATAAAGTGTTGGGCACTAAAGGCCATCATCACATACATCTCAATCCAACATAAATATCCAGAGAGTATAACAACATCTCTCGAATAAACATGAATATAATAAAATTAACATGAATCCAAATGTTCCCTGTGTTACATAGACCAGAGCATGACTCACTGCCTAGTAAAACAGATAAATAAAAGACTAGCTCCTCTAACTACTCCTTACTAGAAGCACCACCGCTATCCTCGGTACCTGAGCGATGTCATATAGAACATCATTTCAACAGAAAGGTGAGAATTCACATCATTATGGAAATATATAGTAATAAGTAATTGCATAACATACCTACATCAATTGAATTCACCAAACTTCACATAATCATGTATTCAGCATATTCTAACACAATTCACATGATTACATATACAACATTGCTCAACGGTTCATGATTCAAAGATAAACAATAAAAAATACCACATATGTAACATTCACACCAATATCACATAATGCACACAAATTCAATATTTCACATTGACACCTGTGACTCCAATACAACTCAATACAATATGCATATGGTACTGACTGTTATCCTTACCGGTCCTGCTGGGTTCACATCTCTAAGACAGATAACCACCAAAAAGCCTATTCTCTAAGCTTTCAAACCCCCATCTCCAGGTTTGGGATAAGTTAATAATTCCCACAGAATTATCAAACATTGCTTCTTGACACAAATGATGCATGTGCAATCTCAACATAAATATACAATTAAGATCATCTCCATATCTTAATCATACAAGCATATTTCACATAATTCAACATATTTGAATTACCTTCACCAAATTGCACAACTTACATATTTCATGTCATCAATCACACACAATGCATTCTTATAACATTAATTATATCAACACATAATTATAACACGTAGCAAACAAATTCTAATCATATTATTCACATCCATCACTATTTCACATCATTCTCATACACAAAATCAAGTATCATGTTTCTCATTAAAAGTCATCCAAAACCAATCCAAAACACATCGAATAAATTATTAAAATTCATATAAATAAATGATAATTCATAAGCATCAACAATTCATAACAGTTTCAGAAAATAATAATTTTTGTCTTCCAGACCGTGCTAAGCAGCCTCATGCGTGCTAAGCGGCATCTGCGAAATGCAGAAAATTATACTACGGACAACTTCTGCCTCCTATAAATTTTTTCATCCAAATTCCATTCAAACACATATATTTCACCAATTAAATGTATTATGACCTATATCTAACATATAACATCAAGTACAAACATTAAAACATGATTTCCAACATCAATTTCATGATTCTACATTCAAACCCTAACATGTCAAAATCTAGAAATTGAAGAACAAATCCCTAATTTCATGTTACTACCCATCACATACCATTACATACACCCATAAATCAATGAATACCCACCCTTACTTTGGATGTAGATACTCTAGGGTTATATCCTACTCTCTTCTCCTTTTCTCCTCTTTTCTCATTTTTCTTCTCTTCTATTGTTTTCTTCACTCTCTCTTTCTAATTCTATATTTTCTTATTTTGTTCAACTCTTACTAACTCTAAATGGGCTTAACTCCATTTACCCACTCTAATGAAACATAAGGCCTAAATGTGTATTTTGCTATTCTCACACTCAATAACCCAATAACATATAATACACACTTGTTCAAATTAAATCAATTATTCACATAATCACACAAAATCAAATAACTAAATAATTATCAGACCAAATTATAATTAACATGGCAATTAAATAATAATAAAAAATAAAAAAATTAGGGTGTTACACTACTTAATCAATTAATCATTTTTCATGAGGGGTTTTAGAAGAAATAAAAAATAAATGAAGAGATTAAAAGGTTTTGGTGCTTGTGTGCACCACTTTAATACTTAAAGACTAACTCTTACTTATTTTACATATAACTTATCAAATAGACTAAAACACTTAAATGCAAGATCAAATGAGCTTTTACATTGATCAATAACCCCTCTATTGTTGGTCAGAAAGAATCATTACTCACCATAATGAATATTCAAGGTTATTATGATATGTAATTTCTAGTTTAGTTGATCATACTAATAAAGAGTTAAATTCTCCGTCCCCTTGTTTGAGACCGACCTATTATGATCATTAATACAACTTAAATGTTGTTTTTATAAGATTAAACAGACTCTCCTAGACCTAAGTATATATCCGAACAAAGTTTACAAATATATTTTTTTAAATCTTGATATCCGACCTTACAACCAACTAATATAAAAGGATCAATCTCACAGTCTATTTGCAGGGCTCTGTTTAAATATAAAGTAAAGCTTTATATGAACATGTCCCAACACAAAAATGATTTGTACCTAGCGAAATTTGAACCTAAGACCTAACAAAACATACTATTAGAACTTAAACCTTCATCACTAAGTCAATTCTTAGAGCTTTACGGATACATATCTTAATCAATCTACACTAATTTTAAAATAATGAATTCTAAAAAAGAATAAAGACGAGCAATAAAGAATTTTATTAGGGGTGAACAAAATTGAACCGCCTGACTCAAATCGACTGATCCATTGTCTTTTTTGTGCAGCTAGATCGGGTCGAATCAAGTGTTGAGTTGATCAAGCTGTTTGATTTGGATAGTATAGGGTTGCTTCAGTCGGACTCAGATGATTATTCTGAACCCGTTAAAAATCTAACCCGATCGAACTCAATTAATATTTATTTTATTTATTTTTATTATTATAGTGGTGACCCATTATAAAAATGAGATTAATGATATTTTTAGGTTATTATAATTTTTATAATCTAATGATGATATTTGTAATCACAAAAATACAAGATATGCAATATAAAATTAAATATTTTATAGTTTGTGATTTAAAATATGATAATTGAGAAATTAGTATTAAGTGATATTCTAAATGTCATCGTAATAATAGTGTTTTTATCGATAAAAAAAATAATTATTTTTAGTCTATTCTAAAATTTTGATAATTTTTTTAAAAAAATCTAAAAAATAAATGTGCGAATTTTATAAAAAATTGATTATTTTATGAGTTAACCTCAATAATATTAAACTGAATAAAACCATTTAATTTATCCGTCAAATCGATTTAACCAAATTCGTTGAAAACTAAAATTTTATCAGTTGAAATTAAACCTTTAGAATAAAACCGTAATTTACGTTGAATTTAAGTTTTAAACTCGATATCGATTCAAACCGATCGATTATCCACCTCTCAATTTTATAATTCAAAAGTTATTTGTTTAATTGGGACGCATCCCTTTCAACACACCCTACCGATTGACCCCTCTCAATTTTATAATTCAAAAGTTATTTGTTTAATTGGGACGCATCCCTTTCAACACACCCTACCGATTGACCGTGACAATGATTACTCCCATCCATCATCATGTCTAAAAGGAACTCAATCAATCACTCCAATGTCCACCAAAAGCAGCTGGATTTCTTCATTTTAAACTCCAAATCATTGAAACTGGCGCGATCTTTTTTCGTGCAGCAACAATCCAATACAAAAACATAAAGGGACTAAACAGCAAAAAAAAAAACTTTTCCAGCCTAGAAAAAAAATTAAAAAAACAACACGAAACTAGCTGTATTAACAAACAGAATAAAAAAGTTTAACGCCAAGTGATGAAAGGTGGAGAAGCCGTTTCGTTAGTTAAAGGCAAAATCCTTTATTTATAAATTTCCATTCTATAATCAGGTTCTCTTTTCAACGTGTGGATAACAAATCACAAAATTCCGCTTAATTTAGATTTATTATAATTAAAAAAAAAAGATTACATATGATTATATTATTATATAATAATAATATTTTTTCCTCATTATTTCATTCTCAAACTCAGATTCTCCATTTCAGAATTTGAGATTTAAGACTCAAACGCCAAAGAGGGAGAGTTACGACTCTTCCTCTTCCTCTTCTCGATTTCCTCGGTTCGATTCATCTTCTTTTTCAATCTCATTGTACATTCTAGATCTGTTTATATTTTTTCTAAACCTAATTTCTTGTTCAGTTGCAAGATGGCTGCAAAGAAATTTGTTGTCGATTTGAATAAACCCCTTGTTTGCCAGGTAAACTTGCATTACGTTTTTAATTACTGTGATTAACGTTTAATTAATCATGTTAATGTTTGATTAACAGGTTGGGCATCTTGGTGATGAGTATGAAGAATGGGTTCATCAACCTATTATGGGTAAGGAAGGTCCTCGTTTCTTTCATAGCGGTGTCTTGGAGGTACTTACCCTACCTACATTTTTCTTTCATTAAAAAATTCTAACAAAGTGATGAAATTTCTATAAAGTGATTATTTTGTTTAAAGAAGCGAGTTTTTTTGTTTTGTTTTGTTGGGGCAGGTATTTACCCGCACTGCTTGGTGGGTGATTCCGATTGTTTGGTTACCGGTTGCGTCTTGGTTCATTTATAATTCTTTCAGATTGGGACTCGAGACTCCTCGTTTACCTCTTTTCGTGCTTCTTGGCATTTTTGTATGGACTTTGGCTGAATACTTGTTGCACCGGTTTCTTTTCCATGTTCAAACGAAGAGTTATTGGGGGAATACGTTGCATTATCTTCTTCATGGATGTCATCATAAGCACCCCATGGATAGCTTAAGACTTGTTTTCCCGCCGGCTGCAGCCGCTATAATAGCCTCCATGGTATACCCCTTTCTCTGTATTGATGTTTTTTCTTATACGCATGCTTTTGGGACCTTGTAACATAGTTCCGCTTTTTATAATCTTGTTATTATCGATGCCTAATTGCTATTTGAAATATGATTCAATCTATTTGTTCTGTCTTAATATACGTAGAACGGTACAATCTTTTGTGCGTGATTTGCACTGATTTAATCCATCACAAGATTCATAGATGCGGTGTTAAGGATAGATTTCAAATGTCCTTGTTTAGTTATGAAGGATGGATGGATGGATGGAGTCACAATGTTAGATTTTGTTATAGACCCCATTACCAATTCAATTGATGTTAGTATCATAATTACTATGCTAACTGCTAAGCACTGTGAAATTTTAAGGATGTGTTATAAATTATAATTTTTGACATGCTTGTGGTTATATTGAAGTCTGTTATTATTAGTCAAGAAAAAAAGTAATATTAAGGTAAAAAACGCAGAAGTTAAGGTAAACCCTCGTGTAATTATTAGTATTAGAGAAGAAGGTGCAGTACATAAGTAGTAAATACTAATAGGATATCTCCTATTAAGAGTTGTTGACAGTATCTCATTAAACATGAAATTATATTGGTTTTATGTTTGGAGAGATTTTTTCCCCTATACCTTCGCCATAAATTGTTTAAGGACATCTTTATAGTATATACCCCCTCATGATCCTTTGGTATGAGCTTTGGTAAACGTAAACAATGATATGCCTGTTTATTAGAGTAACACACATAGTGTAGAATAGTTTAATTCTGTAAGGCTTTGTTTGTACTGACAGCTGTCAGGTTACCTATTGCTGACCTGCTATTGCAAGTCACACAGTTTGCATCTATATAAGCAAACTGTGATCTCCTTTGTAACTAACTTTTCATAAATCAAAATTCAGTTATAACTGAAAATGAAAGTTCTGTATCAAAAGATGTATTTGGTTTCTATCACTGTTTAACTTCTCCATCCATAATACTAGCAAGTTTGTAGTTGTAGCTTTCTTTTTAATATAGGCAAAAACATCTTGACGTTTTACAAAATGATTGATTACATCTTATGTGATATTGGTGAAATTTATCGATGCTTAATGATTTCCAAGTATGCCTATAAAAAGAGGTTCCATGCATTTAAGTTAGAATTTTTGTCTGCAATGTCCAGATCTGGTCCTTAGTGAAGCTTGTATCAACTCCTTTAATTGCTCCTGCTGTGTTTGGAGGCATTTTGTTGGGCTATGTGATGTATGATTGCACACATTACTACTTGCATCATGGCCAACCAAAGAGTGATGTACCCCGTAGTCTCAAGGTATAACCACTTTCCCTTCTTTAAATGTGGCAGCAATCTATCTGCGATTCCTAACTCTGATGTTTTTATTTTTTTAAATCATCGCGTGTCAATTTAAAATTGGTGTATAGTTTAGCACAACTTGACGTATTAATGGATCAAAAGTAGGTCTTTTAGCATTTATCAATATTTAATTTGATTTCTAATTGAAGGACTTTAAATTCATACATAATTATTACTGAGACATTCTTTTCCATTTTTCTTATACACGATTCTCTTAAACTTGGGTCACAGAACATGATAGCATTCTTCACTAAACTATTTTAAAGAAATTTGAATCTTCTCATTTCCTGTGATAATAAGAGTGACCTTTTGGTGAAAGATAAATGGGCTCCTAAGAAGAATATGATGGTGCATTCATCTTTCTTTTTCTAAACATGACATTGCATACTCTTGTAGTAAATTACACTTTCTATATGATGCACTAGAAACTATCTAAATCTTGCTAGTTTAAAAAGATACGTAATGGTTCTTTCCTTATTTTGCAGAAATACCACTTGAATCATCACTACCGGGTCCAAAGCCTTGGCTTTGGCATCACTTCACCACTATGGGATAAGGTTTTTGGAACAGTTCCTCCTCCATCAAAGGCGGATGCCAAACGTAGATAAGTAACAATTGAGGTTGCATTTGTTCTGGTTAATTATAGCTTATTAAAGAGTTCAAACAAAAAAGGTTAAGAATCCATGCTTGTGATTGTCTAATTTTCTTTGCTCCTTTGATTTTTATTGAGGGTTAGCGTGCCATCTTGTGTTGAACAGTATGTAAAAATCGATAACGTGTATCAAATTTATTTAGTAGATAAACTCTGCTGCCTGTGCACAATTCTTTCTCTCTTAACTTCTTTCTACTCTACAACATTCCTTGTTGCGTGGGATGGCTTATTGCAGGTTATCTTCTAGTTTCAAATATATCAAGAGATTCAATCATATTGATTTCATGATAGGAATAATGTCATTGAAAGTTTTACAAATAATATCATTGTCAATCATGGAATTTATGTAACAATTTGTTTGAAATAACAGCTCAGTCTTGGTGGAAACTTTGTGATGGGAAAAGTTTGATAGTATGAGAGGAAATACATGAAGTCCATGTTTAGATTGGTGGAGAGTTTGGCAAACTCTCACAATAGCATTGTGATATGAGCTCTAGTGTAGTTTTTGTTAAAATTACATTGTATCGGGTGATTATGTCAAACTTACTGTCAATTTAAATATACACAAAATGACACGGACTTTTCATTTTCATTTTTGTCATCCAATCATCACATTTTACATTTTCACTAACCATTTTTTGTCACAGTCTCAAATTTGCTTTGACCTTTTTGGAAGATATGAAATTGAATAGCTCAACATTTAAGCTAATCAATTAAACAAACATCCAACTCCACTAAACTGTTGTAAACTTATCTTAACTATTCCATGTTTTTCTCAGTGCACAATATTAAACAGCAACATATTATACAATCTTTATTTTTCACTAAATAATAACTCAACTTGTAAACAGATTTAACCTAACTCATATTTGTAACATTGAATATTGGATCTAGAATCCTAGCCATAACTACCCCTTTGATCTTCTCTTTTTCTTACTTACCAATTGGCAGTGGAGGGATACTCTGCTCATGCCTAAAGAAATTAGATGGATCAACTTCAGTTTTCACCATTACTAACCTATTGAAATTACCCTTAAAATACCTATAACCCCAAGAGGAAGCAAGTGAAATGCTTGTACTATTCTTCTTGTTCATCCCTATATCCAAATCTCTATAATTCACACCCTTGGATATTTTGATGCATAAGGTGTCATAAATGCGTAAAACTTCCTCATCCACCTCATATGTTTTGCCATATTCTTTTCTCCATCAATCCATCCTGTTAAGTACTGAATTTTGTAAAGTGTCCCCTTTCTGTGAGGGAAAGGTGTTGCTGATTTTGCAACCCTACTCATCATTCCTCCATAGGGGTTCCATATCATTAAAGGCCCATCCTCTTGAAGAAAAATCTTCCATAGGGAATTGAGGTCAGTTTCTGGAATCACTTGTCTGACAAAATCTGATTTTGCTTTGAAGTAAGCCTTGGATGTTGGTTTTCCTTGGAGCGGAACTTCTGGAGGTATTCCATTTGGATATCCAGCTATATAAAGAACCGATTTGATCCAACTAGTTTCCAAACAATCCTTTCTTGTTAAACCTAATTCTGGAAAACTGTGTTTCATAACTCTGAGAAGTTTATTCGCTTCACCAAGAAATTGAGCATTGTAAGAAGTAGTTACTGTTCTTTGACCTGGCACAGTACTATTTCCTGGATGAACTATGACTCTGATGAAGAGATTCTCATCGATATTCGGTGCTACTTGTTGCCATCTATGGAGAAGTTTGTTTCCTCCTTGTTCTAGGCTTTTTGTTACACTGAAAACCATCACAGTTTGTGGTACAGGAACTAACTTGATCTTCCACCAGAGAATAACTCCAAAGCTTCCTCCTCCACCTCCTCTTATAGCCCAAAACACAAGAAAATGTTAGAGATTGAACTTCGATCAACAATCTTTGATTGGAGAACTTTGTATCAGTGGATGTCTTTCCACGAGAATCAAGCTCACCATGTCGAGTGGGTCATAGCCCTCGATTCAAGTTGTTGTACTTGATCTTTGACGGTATTTGTTTAGAGGAAAATGAATCCTCTTGCCCTTTGGTAGACGCCTGGTTCAACATGACCCTGCATCAAAGACCCTCGAGATCTTTGAAATGGTTATTGAAAATGCTATGGTATGATGTTATGATGTTATGTACAAGTATGCAAAAGTAAGCAAGTGTATATACAAATAATCACATTCACACGAAGCAGACAAGTCCTTAGGTTTAGGCTTGCATGAGGTTTGTAGGTAAGTACCCTCTTGAAGTTAGTTGGCTCAACCTGTCCTATAAATAGTAATCGGGTTCTAAGAAGCTCAATATCACTGGATCATTTTCTGTGTTCATTGTTTCAGTTTAGCCACTTAACTGGAAACCGAAATACTCCAAGAAAACAATCCTCAATGAGTGTAGTATCGAGTATCTACCAACTTCGGACTGTACCAAAGTCGGTCATCTCACTACCCCTAATAAGGCCAAGATGGTCAAGTAAGGTTCTAAGAGTTCGTTAGTGCTTCACGACATCACTCAGCGGCCCCGTATTCTCTTTGATTGACTCAAAGGCTACCGGTACACATAAATATGTCGCACTAACGTAGCCACTGCTTCAACCATGTCGGTATACCCCGCACAGTTCCCTCACAGTTTATTGCTACTTACCTAAAAGGTGCCCCCAAATCCGGGTGTAGGATTTAAAACAAACCCAAGGAAGGAACCCAAAAAGTAAAGCAAACAAATCAAGCAAGATAAGCATTTAAAGGTGATATAAAACCCTAAGGTAACCTCACTTTCAAAAATATCCCCAGCAGAGTCGCCAGTTCTGTGATACGGTGGGAGAACTGACTTGAGGTTTTACGTTTGTATTCACAAATGTTTCGGTTTAGCAAGAGTCGCCACCGACTTTTTATTTTATCCTAAGGAAAGGTCAAAAAGCACAGGAAAGACCTTTGAGATGTTTTCTTGGGTTCGGGGGGTAGATTATGAAAAGGGAAGGTATTAGCACCCTTTTCATCCATGGTTATCCATGGGCTCTTAGTTACTTGTTTAGATCACTTGCTTTTGCTTTTCAATTGTTTGAAATGGTGCTTTGTGTGTGGTTTTGAAAGGTGTTTTGAAAAGAGGCCATCGTTGTGGCAACCTTTGTAATGATTCTTGTTTGAATGTATACAAAGGTGTTTTTGTCTTTTGAAAAGATTTCAATGTTTGAAAGTTTGTTTTGGGAAATGTTTTGAAATTGTGTTGTGAAGTGTGTTTGAAAATAGCAAGGATGTTTTTGCAAGCTTTTGATCAAGTAACTAAGAGCTATCTACCCTATTTTACTCAAAGATCTTTCTTATGTTTTTAACCCTTGTAACAGTGTTGTTTCACCATTGCATTTGGTGAACAACCTTGTGTTAGGATGTTAAACGGGACAGGCGCGGGTCATCGTATAGACCATGATAGCAATTGTGTCAAGTATTTTTGGCAATTTTCTTAAGGGACTTGATCATTTTTGTTTAGGCAACCAAGATAGCGTCATCGAGGGACTATGATCCTTTGTTTTGTTTTTTTGTTTTGCCAAAGTACCCAACATGCATACCATGGCCCATTTTTTGAAGGCAATTAGTGGATTGTAACCCTAGGGGTGCAAGTGTGCATCATGTTCGTCAATTTCATGCATTTGTCTTGTATTAGGTTATCTAGCGATTGATTTTGAATCTTGCCATACAAACCCTAATTACTATACAATATATTGAAAGCAATAAATTGCAGGAATTTAAAGTCTAAGTTATTACAAAAGAGTATCCGGGGATGGGGGTACAATTATTTACAAACGGAGATGAGTCTCATAAGAATAATAATGTCCAAATATGTGTTACAACCAAATCGAACTGTCGCAATTCAGTTATAACCAATCATAACAAAACATAAAAATAAAGAGAATAAAAAATATTATGAGATGCATGTATTTATTCACAAATAAACAAATAAAATTTAACCTAAGAAAGATTAAGTATTGTTATTATTTTGTTTTATTAATTATGAAAATAAAAGTTTTAAAGAAAGAAAAAATTATTTAAATTAAAGCTTCTATTATTTACATATTTTTCTTTAAAAGAAAACAAAAGTAAAATCTATAATATTATTGTATTTTATTAAATATAACAAATATTAATGAAAACTATATTGAGAAAATAAAAATAAAAATAAAAATTTAATCTATTATTTGTTTCTTATCATTAAGAAAAAAATAATTCATTTAGAAAAATAATTAAAAAGAGTATTGGTTTAAAATGAAAGAAAAAAAATTAAATTAAAACAAGTGATGAGCTTAAGAATTTATTGTTAGGGATTAGGCCCAAATGGAAGAAAAGAAAAAGTCTAAATAGAGAAAAGAGGGGGTACGCTGGCCAAAAATAAAGTGGGCCTAGGGACTTGTTGGGGCGAAGGCCCAGAACGAAATGTTGTAACAAATTTTAGGGTTTGACATTTTGATCTTCAGAATTAGGGTTTGTTTCGTTGGGGTTACAGCGGCGCCGCTCTTACTCTTCTTCTCCGTTTCTTCATCTTTCTCAAGCAAAGCGCTGATTCTCTCTTCAAACCTAGCTACCGGAGCGCCGCCCCTTCCCATTCTCTCATCCTCTCACAGTGGTCCAAGCTTGGTTCGAATGGTATGGTTCGTTTTCTGTCTTTTAGGTTTTTTACAATTTTGTGGTGTTTATGTTTGCATGTTTTAATCCTTGACTTTTATGCTTGAGATGCAGTAAAGAACTTTGAGAAAAATCATACCTTGAGGAAGATGGAGAGGAAAATGGAGGGAGGGAGAGGTATTGGTGGCGCCTCCTTGGTGGCCGGTCAACAGAGAAGATGATGATGACGGTTGCACGTTTTCTTTGTTGGTAACCTTTGTTGTTTCTTTAAAATTTGAATGTTTGATGATGATGACTTTCTGAAAACAGTTGTTTTGATTGTTAATGATGAAATTGATTCTGAAACAATGTTGGCTTCGCTTCTGAAACTCTTCCCCTTTTCTTGGTTATTTGATGTCGATGATGATGATGCTCTGAGACTTGTTTGTATTTTGAAACTCTTTTTCTCTCTTTTTTGGCTTTTGAAAGGTTAGTGAGGATGGTTAAACTGGGTTTACAGTTTATGCAGTGTTGCAGTTTATTTTTGATGATGTTTGGGCAAGCTTGAGTGGGCTTGCTTGGCTGTTTGTGTTGAGCTTGTGTAGCTTGCAGTTTTGTTGGTATGAGCAAGCAGGTTTGCAAGCTTGAAATGCAGGCTTGGCAAACAGGTTTGGCTAGCAGGTTTTGCAGTTTGAAATGCAGGTTGTTTGTGTTGTTTGTTTTTTGAGTAAACCTTACAGTTTTTTTTGACAGGTTTGGGCAAGTTGCAGTTATGCATGTTGTTTTGTGTAGTTGGGCAGGCTGTGTGTTTTGTTGATTGTTTAGGCAGGTTATTTTGGTTTGGCCTGTTTGTAGGTCTGAGCAAACATTGCAGTTTGTTTGTTTTACAGTTGGAACTGCATGTTTTTTGGAAGCTAACAGTTTGGAAGGGTTTGTCCTGGTTTTGATAGCAGGTTTTGAGTTTCTTGTTGAGCTTGGGTTGATAGCAGGTTTTGAGCTATGGTGTTTGTTGGTTCTTTAGAAGGTTGGCTGTTGAGCTACAGTTTGGAACTTTTGTGTTTTCAAGCTTGATTCTCCTGTTTGAAACTGTTTTGGAATTGACTAAGTATTATTCTCCCCTTGGACTGTTATGCAGTCTCTTCTTTTTATATCTTTTTGTTTTTTCTCTTTGATAACTTGAAACAACATGCTTTTTGCCCAAACTGCAAACTTTCACTAAAGGTCCTCTCTTTCTCTCTCTCCCGTAAGCACTTTTTCTTATTATTTTTAATTCTGAAAAGTTTTTCTAGGCTGGAAAATGATGATGGCTATTACAAGCCTCTTGCTTGTCAACAGGTTTTCCTCTGCATTTACCCGCTATTTGACTTGTCATGCTGCATTTTCTGCTGTACCTTTTGTACTTGTATGCTTTTGCTAGTTGGCTTACTTGACAATTTTGCATTCAGTTTGGGTTTGCCATGCTTGGTTACTGCAGTTTGACATTCAGTTTTTTTTTAGTTTTGCTCTGTAATGCAGTACAATGGGTGCCCATCATATTTGAATTTTGGCGCCTTTGTTTACCTTGCAACTTGCCTATGTTTGACAGTTTTGAATCTATTGTATGCTTGCATTTTTTATCTTTTACTTTTCTCTTTGTGAACCGAGAAGAGCGATCTTCTTGTGATTTGCAAATCAAATAGCATTCTGATTCCGGCTGGCGAACTTTAATGATGACCTTCTTTTTTTCTTTTCTGCTTGAAAAAATTACCTGTACTAATTTCTTTTCTTTCTTCTTTTTTCAGATGAATGTAACTTGGACGGTAGAGGAAGCAATAGAAGCCAAAGATCTTGAGCATGGGAGCACTTGAAGCTTAGGAGATTTAGGCTTAGAAATAGATAGACTTTTTCATTTGTTGTAAACAATTATTATTGTAAATATTATAAGTTGTAAACTTACAATTTTCAAATAATTTTGTAACAACATTTGAAATGAATAAAAAATCTTTATCCAAAAGAATTATCTCTACTGTCAGCTATCTTTCGATTCTTCCTTGCATGTTCACTTAATTATTTAAGACTCTTAAATCAAAATAATTGAAATTGCGTTTCAATAATTCTAATCCAGATAACTTAAATTCCAAATAAGCAAAAACTTTGCAGTCTCGTAATCTCGCATCAGTATTCCAACCACACCACGCTTT